CCCAACACACCAGAACAACAAACCAAGTGGCCCGTATGCTCACCGACCAGCTCCATGTGGCCCGCGCACTCATCAGTCAGCTCCAAGTAGCCCGCGTGCTCACCGGCTACCGCCAAGTGGCCCACACGCTCATCGGCCACCAAAATAGCAAGGCCAATTGGCCCACACGCTCATCGGCCACCAAAATAGCAAGCCAAGTAGCATGCATGCTCACCGACCACCGCTAAGTAGCCCGCACGTGTGCTCATCAGCTAATGATACTTCGGATCCAAAGTACTGTGTGTACCACAGGAGAATCCTTCATCCCACCAAGGCTTGCTTCGCTCTCAAAAATAGCATCCATGTCTTGGTTGAAGCCGGCATCATAATGCTGGAATAAGCCAAGTGAGAACGCCTAACTCCGAAAAGTATACGAGTATAAACTGCTTCTCAATCCTCCAACAAGTGCATGAGGTTAAACTACTCCCTGCATACTCCAATAGGTATATGAGTCTAAACTGTTTCCTACCTTTGACAGGAAGTTCCTGGAGAATTTTATACATAATATTCTTAAGGATAACCTGATCATGCAACTGAGTACAATGTTAGGCCCAGTTTCGCAAAGAAATTAGGGGTGGATAATTCATGTAACGGGAAGTTCCCAGAAGAATGCTATATGGTGTATTCTTAGGGATAACCCGGTCATTACAAAAAAAGTGATGAATAAGAAACTCTCACTCGAACTCTGAATGTTTTCAATGATGAAACGCATCTCATTGCCGGGATTAATTTCACCAACTTCCAAGCACTCTTTTTGCTGAGATGAGATTTGATCACTTCGTTGGATCAATCTTCCCTCATGAAAAACTCCCACTGGTATTTGACGATTTACAATCCTCCACCACAAAGTCCCTCACTGATCAAATTAATTGACAGTGGGTCCACTAAAATTCTTTCTGATTTAATCAATTCAAACTCACATTATGTCTGTGCACTCAACACTCCAATTGTTAGAGTCCGGACATAATACTTAGAATTTTAATTTGCTAATTCTCAACAATTATCAAACCCTTTCATGTTAAGTCTTTATCACTTGACACCAAGAACCCCCACTGAGTGATCGGTACAAGTCAACACTCCCAATGTGATTTTTACTCTCACTCCCACTTTATACCTGGTCAAACCTTCCTACAATGAGGACCACAACCAAAATCTCCTCTCAATTCCTTCCATGAACGACAGGTCCATTTTCAAATCGAGTGATCAAACCTTCTTACAGTTAGGGTCGTCTCAAACCTCCCACTTAGTCAAACCTTCCTATAGTTAGGATCATAACCAAAATTCCCTCTCGATTCCTTCCATTAATGAGAGATCCATTTTCAAATTGAACGATCAAAGCTTCTTACAGTTAGGGTTGTCTCAAACCTCCCACTCGGTTAAACCTTCTTATAGTTAGGGCCAAAGCTAAAATCCCCTCTAGATTCCTTCCATGAACGAGGGTCCACTTTCAAATCAAATGATCAAACATTCCTACAGTTAGGGTCGCCTTGAACTCCCACTTGGTTAAACCTTCCTACAGTTAGGGCCAGAACTGTAATTCATACTAGATAGACGAGAGACCTATCTTTAGTTCGGTAATCAAACCTTCTAACAGTTAGGATTATTCGAATCTTTTTGATTCTCAGAGTGGAGATCCCACTCTTAGTTTCACCTTCCCGGATTCTTGAAGTGGAGATCCCACTTCAAGTTTCTTTTGCAACCGGAGATAGAATATAAAATTCTTCCTCTCCAGTATCAGATTCATCTTTGTCCCAAGAGAAGACACTACTTATTAATAATGCCAAAATCCGTACCTCATACACGCGGGGAATTTTATCCTAAATCCTAAGTAGGGATAAGCCAATGCCTAACATGCATTGCAGGTTTAGTCTTTTACTGAGTGAAAAAGACACCAGAATCCAAGTCTGGAGAATTTTATCCCGAAGCCTAAATAGGGATAAGTCAACGCTTAACACACATTGTCGGGTAGTCTATTTCCAAAAGAATGACTTAGTCTACGTATTCAATATCGTAGCACTAAGAGAGTTGACTCTTTTAGCACAACGTTACATGCGAAAAAGACATAAACAATCTGTATGCTAACCCGACTCAAATGGTAGTCGGTAAAGGCTTATCAAACCCGTTGATAGCTGATGGTTTGCCAAAAATCCTATAAATGCAAGAGTCACTGATGTACCAGCTTCATTAGTTATTCTTATAACTTGAGCATCTAACAACCTTAGGATAAGATCCATACATACAGATGAATCAGCTTTAATAGTTGGTCCTACAACCTCAATATTTGGGACCGCCATGCTCCAACACCTTAAGAGATTAAACTGTGTAGACTCTAGTAAACATACGAGTATAAACTGTGTTAATGCCGATCAATGCGTTACAACAAAGGTTAACGCCGGTCAAAGCATTACAGTAAAGGTCGATGCCGGTCAACGCATCGATAATTTTGCCAGAATAATGCTAAGGAAAAAATTACGGGTTAAAGGATGATTCCAGGGAGTTCAATCACATTCAGATATGAATTCCCAATGCAGATGATCAGTTCAAAGTCAACTCAATAGCACGAGCTAAGTTCAGAAACTTACACACCAATTTTAGTTCAAGACTTCAACAACAGTCAGACGATAAACGCAGCACCAGAAGAACTTTATCTATTCGACAAAATACTGAGTAGATTGAAGACTAAAAAAGTCAAGAACTAAAGCCAATTATAGGTCCTTTTACACTGACTGAAGGTTAGGCCTATCACATCTAAAGCATTTCAAGATCTTCTATAAAAGAAGCGAGACAAAAACACTTTTGAGGGTTTATCTGTAGGTGTTAAAAATTACCTATAGGTTCCCGAACATAGCTTGAGATGGAGAGAAGACGATGAGTGTTATTATCCGAGTCAAGGAAGATTATCCGACACTGATAAACATATGAAACGAATCGGTGAACCATTGGCGACGTAGCAACAAACTACCGGAATGGCCACCGCTAAGTGGCCAACACGCTCATCGGTCACC